CAGTGTTATTTTTTTTAGGATTACTGATGAACTAATGTACTTTGATTTGTATTAGTTATCTATTTTAGTTTTAGTTACAGTTGTAGTCATGTTGTCATTTTATTAGTTTTTTTATGTCTATATAGGCTTTTATTTAATTTGAGTTATTTCAGTACTTCAACATCCTTTTTCTTATTTGTAAGTCGCTTTGGATAAAAGCATCTGCTAAATGACTAAAAGTAAAAGTAAAAGTAAGTATATGTGCTTGTGTTAGTATGTTTATCTGGGGCAATGCTTACACTAATGTGGAACGTTTTCTCATTTTGCCGTGCATGCTAGCATTGGAGTAGCCAATTTACTGTAAAACAGCAAATGGAGAAAATATTACTGATAGCTTTCCCCCAGCTAAACACACAGAAAACTGTGCTATCTTTGCCCTGTGACTCAACTGATGTTTTTTTTTTTTTAAATATAAATATTTATATGGTTCACCCTCTTTACCATATGCTAGGTTTCACGTCTCAATTTAGAGTGCTGATAACAGCAAAATCATCTTTCAGACCTAAGCTATCAAACGAATAAAGTTAGCCAACCGTATTGTGGACTGTTACTTTCACAAATTCCTATAAAAAACTAACATTACAACACATGTATTGTAAGCTTCTACCTCATGTAGGCCTAGTTTGACACTCCTAGTACAATCAACTACCTCAGAAGTTGGCGTGTGGCTAACAATAACCAAATGAAACAAACAAGAATTATATATTAAAAAAATTCATCTTTTGGACAAATTGTAGGTACAGCTCCATCCTTTAAATGCAATTTCAATGCAAGTCCAGCTTCGTATTGGCCGAGGCAGTCCAGCAAAAAAAGTTTTAGCCCACTCTTTCTGGGACATTACATTCATATATAAAATTAAGCCATTTCGGTTTTGTTTCATCTTGAATCTGGGATTCTGTGAAAGCACGCCTGTGAGCCTGTACATCCGAACACAGAGCAGGTTGCATGCCAGGATCGCTTCATTGTTCAAACCCAGAAAAACGAAAGGCACCTACGTTAGCCGCTTTGCTATCGGTTTACAAAAAGGGGTGGGAAGAAGGCGAACTCCATATTTTGCTCAGAGGTGGTCATATTAAAATAACTAGCTAGTTACGTCAAAACCGGCACCAAATTGAAACAGGTCGCTGGATGACACATTTTAAAACAAACTGGCTGCATGTTTTCTTTTAAGATTTTCTTAGCTGGCAGACACAGCAGAAACCTAACTAAATGCAAAAAAATCTACAAAAGTTAAAATTTCATCCAATGTCACCTTTAAAATATCTTCAATTGTGTTCTGAGGATGAACGAAAGTTTTAGGGGATTGGAACAACATGAGGGTGAATAATTAATGACAGAATTTTCATTTTTGGGTGAACTATCGCTTTAACTTTGTGTACCTTGATATGATTTTTTATTCTCAAATTCAGGCATCTGATGACTTGAATTTTATGAATCGCCAACAACCATGGTTTCAGCTAAAAACTTTACTGTTCTACAGAACCTCATGAATTAAAAAATAAAACTTTGATTGTAATACCACTGTACTGGAATAATTACAGTAATAATTATTAATCAATAACTATTAAAAACCCCAGCACAAGGGGTTTCTTTTCCAAAAATGTTATAGTTACACTCATAATACAGTTTTGCCGTAATTATTCAAAAATATTTGGTCGCAGAATGCTGCAATTGACCAATCAGAAACAAGTATAATCACAAAAACAGAGCAACAAAACAAATCAAGAAATATAACTGTACTATAAACTGTATTGTGCATTTGAAGGATACACCCATTGCTTGATGAGGGGTCCGATGTCCTTCCCTGATACGTTGGAAATGGATTTGAGGAATCCAGAGGTGGACACCAGCATCTGGCTCCACATGTGAGACTGATATTTCTGGCATGAGGCTGTGCTGGCCAGACTCAAGAGCTTGTTAAACACCTGATGAGAGATTTGATTGACCTCAGGCTGAGATTACAGCATTTGATCAGTTTATTATTTGCAACATGGATAATAAAAATGATTGTGTCAATGTGTGTGGGTAGTCCATAAATTAGGTTCTGAGAGGAAACTGAACCACTACACACAGCATCTCAAAATCTCATGAAATATACCACTTCCTTTTTTAAACGAGGGATGTTGTAGTTCATTTACCTGCAACATGAATTCCATGCTAATTCTGTTTTCAATGAGCCTCATGACTAGGTGGGCTTTGCACTGGAACATCTCGTAATACTCCCAGGACAATGTGTGGGGGTGTCTGATGGAAAAGTGCAGGTGGGGTGTTGGACTGAAAGGAAAACAGACATTTTCATCCTCCAAAGCATAATCTTTTGTACAAGTTTAGGTAAGTGTGTATACATTCTAAGCAGTGATAGAGGTGGGGTTTACTTGTCTTTTTCTTTTCCTCCAGAAAAGGTGGGATGTAGCAGGACTCCACCCATCTTGAGCTCATACTCCACAATCTTTTCCAGTTCCTGTAGGTTAGAAGAATAAGAGACAAGCAGTTCAGCATTTAAAAAGTTGATGTTTGAGCATATAAACATATCCGCTTGGCCGTTTGACAGAAGCATTGGCTCTCCTTTTTCGATCACTTTACTCTATACCTCCTTAATCCAGTGACGATACTCATTGACTCCAAAGGTTTTCTTCAGGTAGAGGCCATAAATGTATCCAGAAATTCCCTTTAAAACCCACTCATCAGACCTGCAATTCAAAATACAAGATATACACAGTTGAATTAATCTTTTACATTTAAATATAAAAGTCCACTGGTATATGTTTAGCTATATTCCTGCTTCCTGTCTGCCGTGCTGCTGGTTTGTGATTGTAGCTCCGTGTAGCCTCGCTTTTCTGTAGAATCTCTATCTATACTCACTCTCTGTTGTTTAAAGTGATAACATATAACTTAATTCCCACCATATTTCTGATATTATCTTTCAACCTAATCTGATTAATTTGATCGTTCACTTTTATTCTAAAACCACGAGTGCAGCGCACCTGCAGCGCGTTAGCATTCGTTAGCCGGTCCCTCCTCCATCCCCAACTCCTCCTCTGTCAGTCGGGATTCAGCCTTCTGAGTCTCCTTGAATCAGACTAATTCTAAAATGTGTACATAAAATGATTGAACCTTAACAATATCTGCAATACATTTATGTTAGTTCTGTTCCGTTTACCCTGGGGGGTTATTGCTGCTCTCCCTGCTCTCATCCATGCTAGGCTGCATGGATGCGCAGGGAGTTCTTGCCCAGAACGGAACCATACCGCCAATCCAAACTGTATGCTAATTGTCAATCATCTTTGACGATAGTGGTCCCCACAGAATAACATAGGTTTCATAGACAATTGGATGAGTTTTTGGGGCAGACCTGAGCTGTTGAAAAGAGATGGTTTTCATCCCTCCTGGGGTGGTGCTGCTCTTCTGTCTAGATATATGGCACATATTTCACAATAGGGCCCAGGTCAGGAAGCAGATAGACTGGCTAAACCGACCGTCTGCTCCCTTTTCTGTCCAAGATACTAGAAAAGATAGTATCCTCACAATTATATTTCTTCTTAGAGAAAAATGGTATCTGTGAGGATTTCCAGTCAAAATTTAGACCGTATCATAGTACTGAGACTGCTCTAATTAGAGTTACAAATGACCTGCTCTTATCATCTGATCATGGTTGTATCTCTTTATTAGTGCTATTGGATCTTTGCGCTGTGTTCGACACTATTGAACACAACATTCTTTTGAATAGACTAGAGAACTTTTTTGGCATTAATGGCACATAAAACATCTGCACGAAACAAAGGCTGCATTTACACTGCAAGTCTTAATGCACAGATCCGATCTTTTGACCATATCCGATTTTTTGACCCGTCTGTTTACATTCACTTATAGACATGACTGGTATCCGATATCATACATAATTCCTGCCCAAAATGATAGTCAGTGATCGCTTTACTATGCACATGGTAGACCCTCGGATTTTGAATGGCCGTGCTATTAAAATTATTTATATAATTCACGTCAAAAGGCCATTATTATTTGCCAGCATGGACAACAGATGTCATGGATGTTTTGGAGCACAAAATCTGACTGTATTTTATATGAATTTTATAATATAACGGGAAAAAAACTGTAATTTTCATTTGTTAGGTTATTTTATAACTCGTTAGAGGTGGAATTTTTTTAGTGAAATAAAGTAGCGCCAAGATGATGTTTATTTGTGAATTAATGAATTTTTCATAAATGAATAATTTTTTGTTTTGGTGTTTAAGATGAAGTTGCATAGCTGAAGCAAAACCACAGAGTGATATTTACTTATTAAGCAGCTGTATTAATGAGCAAGTTGTTTGTTTTTATGTAATTTTATACTTGAAATATATTTAAAGAAAAAAAAAAAGTCAAACAGCTTGTCCCATTGACTCCACATCTCAACATTTAAAAATGAAGGAAGAGATTGCAGCAACAGTGTTTTTCATTGCAAGACTAGCAAAGTAGCATGGTAAACTGGATCGTGTTAGGAGGGAGAAGTTTGCTGTGGAACTAACCTCAGTGCTCTTTGAAAATTATAAAAGTCATTGGTACCCAGAAAACCCAACCAAAGGACAAGCTTTTAGGTGTCTAAGGATGAACAAAGCTCAAACGAGAGACCCAGTTATTGAGCGTGCTTGTCGGCAGAGTGACATTGTTTATGAGAATCTTGGATTACCAAAGGAAATGACAATTATTTATGAAAAATAATGAATAAATGAATTAGCGAGAGAGAGAGAGAGAGAGAGCGAGAGCGAGCGAGCGAGTGAGAAAGTTTGCGAACAAGTGAAATTTATCACGTCATTGCTAAGAAATATAATGTAGCTTTTAGTAGCGAAGCTGTTGTATTTATAAAAATCACGGGGCAGGGGTTGAAAACCAGCTCCTGAATGTGCAATTTCTTACCTAGCCTATAGGCCTACAAAGTTTCCATCTAAATAAAATGTACTTGCGCATGCATGTCTGGCAAACGTGTCGCCTCGCATTGGGAGTTCTGCGGGGAATTGGATATGTGTATTTAGACGTAGGTCGGATGTCCAGATATCGGATATGTATCTGATTCAAATTCATATTTGGAAGTGGCTCAAATCGGATGCGAAAAATCTCGGATCGGATCTCATGCGGATTTTTGTGTTTACATGTGTGCAAAAAATTCCGATATGTGTCAGATGTGAGGATTTTTTGTGCCAGTGTAAATGCAGCCAAAGACAGCAGACGGGCTGAATGATACGCAATTTCACACTCTCTTCACAGCAGGTGGCGCTTATGAAACAGCAGATACAGCATTTCCTTGGCTGTAAACAAAGCAGCTGAGCGCTTATGAATGCTGCTTTAATATGCATTATTACAGAGACGAGATGAAAAGAAAATATAATCTAAACTTTTCTAAAGACAGTCAGTTCCCCTAAGAGATACATTCATATAAACTCCTACCCCCAACTGGATCGCGATTCGTTTAACATCTCAACCGATTTGAATCATCACATATTTGCATCAATTTTCAACCGGCTGCAGTAAATCGTTACATCCCTAGTCTTAAGAGAAGGAAAGGTGAAATGAGGCTAAAATAAACTTTTGTGATGATCATACTGTCTTCATGGGTAATTTATACATCAGAGACCCAGAAACACATTTTCAATAAAACAAACACAGTCTGTCATACGACTATTATGTCATACAAGAGATTTTTTAAAAGCAGAATTACATGTGTTACAGGCTAAAATAACCAAGAGGTTAAGTGTCTTGCCCAAAATTAATGTTAATGTTCATAGACTGTTCGTAGAATGGTTAATTTTTTGCAAGGAGATACTGCCAAACATTCTCATTGCCGTAAGGATTTAAAAAAAAAAATACAAAGATAAGTAATTAACCTGCATTTTGTCCTAGGAATGGCAGAATCAAATGTTTACTGAAAGAAAAACATTGTCATGCAACCTGCTCAAGGCATTACTGGTTCAATAAATACTGTATTTCTTGCAAGCCTAAAGTACCTGCCTGCAACCATTCATGTATGAAAAGTATTTCATATTCCATATAACAATACTGCAATATGCAGTTTTTTGTTGCTGGCAACAAACATTAAACCACTAGGCTTTACCATTCCTACTTACCAGGACATCCTAGAGATGAAGCATCCAAAAAACTGCTGGGCCAGAGCTTGAGCCAGACAGCGCCTGGTCATAGGAGTCTGATCTATAATCATACCACTGTGCAGGAGGTTGGTACTGAGAAGAACACCACAAAATCATGATAACAAATTTCTGTAAACAAAACATTTGAAAAAAAAAAAAAAATTATAATTACATGTCATTATAAGCATACCTGAAAATACTCATGGATGCATATGATGAGACCTGCACATAAGCCTCATCCACAAAGACGGTCTTGAAGCTAGAATAAGGGTAGCGGCAGGTGAGGATCTCCTCATAGAACTCAAAAATCTCATGCAGGTAGGACATGGTGTGCTTCAGCAGGGGCAGAAGCTGAGGCAGGCAAAAACGAGTCACCTGTGAAAGCATAGTATATTTGATTTATAACAGTTTAGTATGAACAAAGAAAGCTGCAATAACTTAAAAATTGAGATCTGAAAAAGTTGAGTATATATAATATAGTTAAATAAATATAATATTTAAGCATTCATTCCTGACTTCTCTCAATCTAGTAAATATGGATGATTCACTGTAAAATAATTTACTGTACTAATGTGTGATCTATTTGAATGTTTTAACATATAGGCTACTGTATTCCTGTGTTCAAAGCTGAATTTTCAGCATTATTACTCCAGTCTTCAAGTGTCACATGATCCTTCAGAAATCATTCTAATATGTTTTGCTGCTCAGTAACCATTTCTGATTATTATCAATGTTGTAAACATTTGTGTTGCTTAATATTTTTGAGGAAACCATTTTTTCACGATTCTCTTATGAGTATTTGAAATTGTTCTTTGTGTCAGAGCGCTGGAGTTGGTCAGAAATAGAACGCGGCATCAGTTTGCTGTCATGGATTTGTGTAGCGGTGCGCCGCATCCACAGCAGACAACATCACTGGGTTCTATTTGCTTTTGTCAAATCGCGCCGCTTGCGTCTGGTGTAGACACGTTGTTTTGGTATTTGTGAATCTTAAGTATATTCATAATCTGCTTTACGTTTACCTGGCACTGGAAGTCATTTCACAAACTTGTAACTTATGCTTAGAGCAGAACCATATATCGTTCATTTATATTTTTACATGGCTGCCTGCAATACAACTCTGATACTTCAATCGCGCCATCTAGTGGTCTGTTATTGATACAACCACAACTGCTACAACTGATAACGGAGCGCTCAAGCGGATACTGCGAGTCATGAGTTAATTAAAATGTCAAATTAATATTTTGCGCTCAATTATTTACTTATCAGACAAGTGGCCGCATGATAAGCGGGAAAATTACATAGTGTAGTCTTTATCACCCTGCAGAGGTTTCTTTTGCAATACCTGGCACTGGAAGTCCTTTCACAAACTTGTAACTTTTATGCTTAGAGCAGAACCATGCATCGTTCATTTATATTTCTACATGGCTCCCTGCAATACAACTCTGATTCTTAAATGGCGCCATCTAGTGGTCTGTTATTGATACAACCACAACTGCTACAACTGATAACGGAGTGCTCAAGCGGATACTGCGAGTCATGAGTTAATTAAAATGTCAAATTAATATTTTGCGCTCAATTATTTACTTATCAGACAAGTGGCCGCATGATAAGCGGGAAAATTACATAGTGTAGTCTTTATCACCCTGCAGAGGTTTCTTTTGCAAAATAATCTGCTGACTGTACAGTATCCCTCAGCCTTGCCGTGCCCACCTTGTCATAGCTGCTTAATATTCCCCCCAGTTTGGGAACCACTGGAGTAGGCGATTTGTGCTCTATTAATTTGGTCTGTTATGATACTCTATGTGTTTGATTACTAATGCCTGTGTAGTAAGGCGTTGCACACAGAGGACAAAAACGTTCAGCCTCGACACTTTATCGTCATTTGTGTTAAAATTTGAAAAGAAAGAGCCACAAAAAGACAAACGTTTTGCTGAAAAATGCACAATACACAATCTTCCAACCTAGGATGAAGTCATTATGTACATTAGCAATAATTTGGGACAAATCTAATGTAATTTAATGGAGAATGATGTGAGTGGCGTGGCAGGATTATGAACAGGCCCAGAGTCGAGATCCGCAGACAGTCGCCGGTGGCGCCGCCGGTGTGCATACAGTCATGGAAAACAATGTTTGGGAATTTTAAAGACGTGGTGCGGTGCAGGGCTGCACATGTCGTCCGGTGTGCGACCGCCTTAAGGCTGGATAGCCTCTTGTTTCAGAGGTGGAATTGTCAAAGATGATTTTTAGAAGAGGACACCGTAAACTAAGCTGGTAGCCCCCCCCCCCCCCCGTCGAGTGTAGGGGGAGAGGGCCTAGGCTCAAGAGTCACGGTTCGCTACTGTCACACCGGTATAGCGCCCACCCCTAATGTCTATACTGTAACTGTCCCAGTGAGATTGTTCAAAGGGGGGGGGGAAGAAAAAAAAACAATCACAAAATAATTTAGGGGAGGGTCCCTCAACTGAAAACTACACAGAACACAGTAGGCCATTTCAAAGTGTTTATATAAATAAAGGCAATCCACAGATCACTACAGCACATGCATGAAAAACAGTCAATAACGTATTTTTCAGTGCAAAACAACCCGTTGTGTGTATCATTAATCAAAGTAAAAGACAAATAAAAAATTATCTGGTTGAATGAATACTCGTCTCTAAGCCGAAGCCGAAGCATGCACTGAATTCGAGTACTAAAGACCTTGATGACGATAGAAGGTGAAAAAAAATCAAATAGACCGATAGCAAGAGTATCACAAACATTCGGCGATCAGAGTTCCTTAAAACATAGCGTGCATTGCAATTCTTTGATGTTGATTTGTCCCGCGATGAGCACAGATTTTTGATTAATTTATTTCTTAGTCCATAGATGAGGAATTCATATTAAAGAAGACGGAGAGACAGAAACAAAAATAATTCTTCTACAAATCAAACAAACAACTAGTATTAGCATTTAACAACAGCCCATAACCTATTTACAAAGTAAGTGCAAAGTTACACAGCACAAAATAAACTGATACACTTACATGATTGAGCTGAAAACCTTAGTTTCTCAATCCGAACTCCATTTGCAGTAAGGTTAGGTAAGTGAAAACCTTGCTTTCCCTTAAAGGGGTCATATGATGCGATTTCAAGTTTTCCTTTCTCTTTGGAGTGTTACAAGCTGATTGTGCATAGATAAGATCCCTGAAGTTGCAAAGACTAAAGTCACAAAACTAAAGAGATATTCTTTATCAAAGTTAAGACTCTGCCACGCCCCCCTAAAACGGCTCATTCTAACACGCCCCCACATATCTACCACACTATATGGAAATATTTGCATAATGCCACCCAAATGTTCACGCACAGAAAGAAGGCGTGGTTTCAGTAACCGCAGTTAGTGTTGAAGCAGCCATGTCAGGGAGACAACTGCATTGTTTTACTTTTTGTAATTAAGACAAATATTTTGTTAT